CATGTTAATTAATTGGGATTACGACCCATTTAGGGCCTGTTTATATGATCCCGCCTAGACGGGACGGGACGTTTTCATGCCGCCTAGACGGGATACTCGCCTAGTGTCTATATGGACAAAATACATTGCCGGGATGAAGCCATTTAAGTGCTTGACGTCATATTTTTGTTGTAATAAAGGCATATACGCATGCTCAAAAGGGAAAAATTCACCCCGCCTAGCCGGGATGAAGTGTTTATATGGGAATTTTTCGTCCCGGCTAGGCGGGATGAAGTGTTTATATGGGAATTTTTCATCTCGCTTAGGCGGGATCCCGGCATCTGTTGCCGAGATCCCGTCTAGGCGGGATAAGTGGCGGGATCATATAAACACTCTTTAGAATTTGTATTACGAGCGGGATCTCAGTAAGCATCCCGTCCCGCCTGGCATCATATAATTAAACAGGCCCCTAATTTCATATTTTCATTTCAATACTTTTAATAACACTTTTAATATTCTCTTTGCTTCTTAATAATGTTTCTCAGAGCTTTAATTTTTCACAATTTAATTTTTCCTCAACAATACTTTAATTTATCCTGGGAATATGGAACAAATGCCTCCATAATGAATAAACAAGTAACGATTTCTGCCACAAATCCCTACAATGTCTATATCCTAAATTGAACTTTAACGGCGCTCCGTTGAAATAACTATTCTGAACAAAATTTGCATGTAACTATAAACTTAATGACTTTTGTAAACATTTTTTACAAACCTTTCGATGATCAATCTGTAAGACGGAAATTTAACTTCCCGAACAAAATTACGACATTTTTACTTCAAACAAAACCTTTCAAATCCTTTGGATGGAACTTTTAAACTCTTTTTATTTTTCCTTTTTAAATTATATTCGTGCCAAAACTCTCAAACACGCAAATGAAACTTTCTGAAACGACAAAATTTTCCCGAGCAAATACAAAGAGAAAATCTTCCCGGGCGAATACAAAGCGAAAATGTTCCCGGGCGGGTACATGCAAAGAGAAAGTTTTCCCGGGCGAGCCCCCATTGTTACGAGCCGGTCCCTACTATTATTTTATCTGGCCGCTCTGGTTCTGTTTACTCGCAACAAAAGAATGTAAATCTAAGCATTAATCATTATACTATTTTGATATATATATATATTTTACTAGAAAAGCATTAGTTATATTAAGCTATATGATAATACGGTTAATTAGGCTATATGTTAAAACTTATCTGTCCGAGTGACCATTGAAACTTGATAGCATAGTTCAATAGTTCAAGTGTAATTCGCAAGATATCCATGTTGTCTTCTTTCTACGTTAATATTAGCACATTAAAGCAGATTCGTCTTCAGCCATGGAGTCTTCTTGAGAGTCGAGTCTCGTTCCTCTTTCTTAATCTTTGATCATTGCTAATAATCTAATTATAATCTAATGTTCACTGATGCGAGAAGCTACTTTTATAGTATTAGTCAGAGGATGACTTTGTCATCTTGACACATTTCCTATACGCAATGCTGTGGTTGTTGGTAGAACGTTCTCCATGCAACCACATGCATGTTCGTTGACGTTATTTGTTTATTACTTTAATCTTTAGAACTATTTGCTTACTCATGCATGTAAGAGATAAGCTATCTAATATAATATAATATGAATACGAATATAAGCTATATAGTATAATATATAATAGTATAATAATATTTATAAAATAACCTTTTAATAAGGCCTGCGCTGATTGGTTGAAAAGCGAAAAATCCCGTGTTTCTATAACGCTATAGTATAGAACACGGGAATTTTCCACGAACCTCAAAACAACACACTAAAGCAAACGTTTTCGCCTGAAATATCGATTAAAAATCTTCGTCAACCTGAAATTTTGTTAATCAGTAAACAAGCAATGGAAAACACTTACCAAACATTTTTTCGCTTTAAATTTTCTTTAAATCAACTTTTTTCAGCGTGTTTTTTTTCTCCATAATTTTGCAGTCGGCAAAACTGAAAATTGATGCCGGTATTGTTGCTAGGCAACATTTTCTTGTTATTGTGTAGTGAGAATATACTTTTTAATCTCGTTAAAAATATTGTTTTTGTGTTATTATCACAAGGTTATTTAATAAAGGAAATAGAAAACATTTTTTCATGTGTTTCTATAGAGTTATAGAAACACTTGTGCTAGTTTGGGAGAACTCGAAATAACGTGGAAACACTTGCACTACGTGCTTGTGTTCCCACTGATTATTTCTCGTTCTCCCAAACTAGCACGCGTGTTTCTATAACTCTATAGAAACACGGAAAATGTTTTCTATTTCTTAATTAATATATGCAAAATTACATGATAATTGCTATCATGTAACAGCATGAATAAATATCTTCAAACCTTTGTAGGTTTGAATTGGAAGGAACATCTTTCCCATATCATCAGTGGAATACACTCCATCTCGTGTCATTGTACTCTGCCTCCAATTCTCCAGGTACTGTAAGAAAACATTCTTCATCCATACAAATCGTTCATTGTCTTGAGCAGTGTATGGTTTGATGAAATGATTTATTCTCCTGACATGTTCACTCAAAGACCTTACATTTGTACAGTCAAAGAAATCATTCATCACTCGGCAAAATTGTGCCGTACCCAAAACTTCCTCATTTCCACTCTCCACCAACGCTATTGCCACAGATCGACTTAAAACATGAGTTGCCAGCTTGACTTTCATCTTACTGTAAGAGGTAAGGACAATATGGTCTAGTGACAACTTTGGCAAAACGTGCAGGGCGAACTCCTGGTTGCTGTAGAAAAGGTCAGCAATGCGCCTGAACAATAAATAGCTACAATTGTTCCACATAAGACGACTGCAAGAACCGGAACCAGAGTTGTACAGGAAATTTCTGGCAGTCTTGATTAGATGGCCAACATCAGGGAAGAAGAAAATAAAGCGAGCCATGGCGTTAGACAAGTAAAAACAAAAAAGTAGGGCGCACTGGGGCTAAATGGGTTAACTTGAGACATTGTCAAATTTTTTGGTTAACCCACTAAGCTGCAGTGCTTCCCCATTGATGAGGGGGCACTAGGGCACACTGGGGCTCAATGGGTTAACTAGAGACATTGTCAGATTTTTTGGTTAACCCATTAAGCTACAGTGCTTCCCCATTGATGGGTAAAATCGTCTGACATTAAACAAGTAAAAAAATAAGTAGGGCGCACTGGGGCTCAATGGGTTTAAAACATATCCTACCTGCTTTGGGTTTGAAATAGTTCTTATAATCTCTAAGTACTCTTTCACTTGGAAGGATCAGAGCTCCACTATCTCCGAGCTCTCTATATGCAGCTGGGGATTTACCATGAAGGAACAATGCAAACCGTATATTTTGGGGGTTATATCTTCTGGCCATTTTCTCAGTTTGCAATAACTTCATCTGTTGCTGCCAGAAAAACATCATATGAGGTGTAGCCTCCAAATTCTGACCAACAATAATCTTCAAAATGTCCTTCTCTAATGTCTCACTAATTGATATCCATCCTTGTTAATTCTTGTCTCGAGCTCTTTAACTCTGTCCTCTATAACTGTTTACACTCTAATCTTGTGGCTTTAACAGTTGCTCGTAACTTGTCCGGACCACAGGCTAACAGGGAAGCTTTACTCTTAGCAGGGACTGACGAAACAGTTATCTTTCTTGTAGCGGCTTTTTTTAATAACTTATGCGTTCTTGAACATGGCTTACATTGTTCTTCCTCAAGTATGGTATCCAAAACAACATTACAATTTGGGGATCGAAATGTCACAGTGACAGATGTTTTGAAATGACTTTCACATGGCAATTTTGGAACAGAATGACGGAATACTGTGGATTGGGGAAATTCTGTATTAAACCTTATCGTCCCAGGTTGGATCGGTAACCACAGACTTACTTTCTTCACCTTGTGGCAATCCTTTGCAAAGGTTGGAATTCTCAACAAACCTTATCAATTTATTGACATCTTCAAAACTTTTGATACACCTCTTTTGAGTGGTATAAATAGTATGGTCATCAGGAATTGGCCAGTTAAACAAATATGTTGTAAATTGCAATCCAGTATCAATATCAATAGTGAACTTTGCAATGCCATGTCGATGGTCATACATAATTCAATCCTTACGCTGTCCTGTTCGTAAGCCTTAGTCACAGTCCAAGGCATTATTATAATAGTACTTTCATCAAGCTGCTTTTGGAAGTTATTGCTGGCACGTCAGGCAAGATATCTGAAGAAGTACACGGCATATTTTGAGGGTCAACTTTGATCAAAGTATGACGCTCTTTTATCTTGGGCATATCATGGCTTTTTGTTGGCAAATTTTCAGTCGGTATACTACCCATAACCAAGACTTTTCGTTTAGGATCTTAAAACAAAACAAACATTAAGAATAAAATCGAGAGAAATCTTTCTCTGAGTAATTTATCAATATTCATGAATGGCCTTTTGTTCTCACGAGTATAAATAGATGCAAACAAGAAGCACAAAATGCAAATATACTTACATATACTAAAGCATTCGTGCTTGAAATGAAGCTCGCATAGATAGTTATTATTCGCCTCGATACGCTTTCTTAACTCTGGCGTCGATTCACGTGACGTGTCCGTAGACTTCGTAAGATCAAACCAGGCTTGTCGTGTATTCGTCTTTAAAGTTTTAGTTTCCTCGCTTTCATCCTCGCGAGGCGACGGCAATTTGAACAGCGAAAGCCCATGTTTACGGCTCGTTGAATAGCCGTAAAACACACAGTTTTCCCCCGGCATAGCTTTTAACTTATTTAACAATCACATATTTAACTAGAGGGCACTCAGAGACTGCATACCTCCGCCCCCATTGAATTTCGGTCGTGTGAAATGCAACTAAGACAATAGATAATGAAGGCTGAAGCTTAATGAGGTTTATCATCTCATTATTGTCTTAGTACTGCGTGCATACATT